CTCTATAACTGCCCTGTACTGGTCATTCCCTCTGAAGCATCTGGCACTGGCCACTGTCGGAAGACAGGATACTGGGCTAGGTGGACCATTCGTCTGACCCAATATGGCTGTTCTTATGGTGTGAAACATGGCTGCCACTGCCTGCAGTTTTCCATGCGGGGCTGGTAGGGCTGGGGGTCTGCAACAATCCATTCCTCCCATTTCTCTGACAGGATGGCAAAACCCCTGTTTGCAATCTGAGGCCAACCTGGGAGGCTAAGGCAAAAAGATCTGGTGCAGCCTATCTGATTTACTACAGCAAATTCTTTCCCAGGTGTCTGGCTAAGCACGACCTTATGTGTGTTCATGAACTGGAGCCCTACTGATTCTCTAGCTGGAGTATGGAGTGGGCAAGGGAAAGGAGTAAGGCTGGAGATGGGGACTGCGACAGAGGTGCAAATAAGCAGCTCCAGTAATTGCAATGAAGCTGGTGTCAATTTCCCATTTTGCTTAAAAATCACTTGAAATCGGGAAGCTCATCTTGGTTCTCTAGAATAAAAATAAATAAATAAAAATTTTAAAATAACAAAATAAAAATCCGACCTTCTGTCACAAGCTAATAACCCAGGAAGGAACCTTGATCCTCTGCTTTATAATCACCATATGAGTGCTCTGAAAAAGTTATTAACAACTTCTTAAACTTGCCTCAGTCCCCTTATAAAAATTCCTATTACCCTAATAAAACAAACAACATTAAAAAAGGGAACAAGCTCAATTTAACCCTGAGCCAAGACTGGTGCAGTCCAATGAGTAAGATCCTCAGTGGGTGTATATTGGTGTAGCTCCAGAGATGTCAATAGGGTGATGCAGACACACTAGCTGAGGATCTGGTTCTACAATGTTTATCCTGCTAGCAAGAGTGGCTTGCTTCCCTGGCATGGACTGCTGAGGGCGTGTGTGGTTGGGTACCCCATAGCTATGCCATGGTATAGGAGTCAGGCGCACCTGGAAACTTGTTCAGGTGTAAGGCCATAGTTACACTACCATAAAACTAGGGGTAGGCCACTGGGAAATTAGGCCACTGGGTTCTACTCTCAGGTCTCCTACTGACCCACCCAATCATGCCTCCATCTTGTGCCTCAGTTTCCCTACCTGTAAAACTGGGATAATGCCACTCACCCAGCTGAGAATCTAGAATAGACCAGTACTGCCTAAAAGCAAAGCATTAGCCAAACTAGGAGTGAGAACACAATCTCATTCCTCAGGAATCCCGTAGGTTTCAGTTCATCATTAGAATGGCTCATTTACAATGATAGGTAACCCAGTTGTTAAAAATCTTTAATGGTATAGGAAGGATAAATTCCATCACTTGGCTGAACAGAGAAAATATGCAGAGAAGTGACTGGGTTTTCATAAATCACTAGTGCATGGTGGTACAATCGAGTTAGGACTTAAAATTCAGGTCAGGAGATAGGTAGTCTCATAATCCACCAAGGGAAGGTAATTTATTCTGTTTATATCTTTTTACTGCAAGCCAAGGGGAAAAAAAAAACTCCACAATGATTTTGCATTTTAAATATTAGTTCAGAGCTGCCGCCTTCCTTGGACTTTATTTATTTATATCTCTGGGAAGAAAAAAAAAAGAGGTGAGAATCTTTAGCTGTTTGGCAGCAGGGCTGTGTGAGTGATACGGGCTGGAATCAATATAGTTTAACTGCCACATCTTATTAAGAATTACAGCTCTGTGCAAGGCAGGATAAATAAAACACACAGATTCTGGGCTTTAAAGGCTTGCACCTAGGCCAGCTGTCTTAGAACTGTCCTTGTTTTGTTAAAGAAGTGACCCCCCTGCTTTGCAGGCCTCTGAAGTCATCTGACAGATTAGAGGGGGAAATGGGAGGATGAAAGTAAAGAGGTAGGTGGGGAGGTATATGGGTGGAGTGGGTGGAGCAATAGATAGATAATAATGAAAGAGCAGGAAAGAAGAGAAGAAGACAATAAGAAAGAAAGAAAGAAAGAAAGAAAGAAAGAAAGAAAGAAAGAAAGAAAGAAAGAAAGAAAGAAAGAAAAGAAAGGTCATAGTGGGTCAGACCAAAGTTCCATCTAGCCCAGTATCCTGTCTTCCAACAGTGGCCAATCTGGCAGTGCTCCAGAAGGAATGAACAGAACAGGAAATCATCAAGTGATCCATCCTGTTGCCCATTCCCAGCTTCTGGCAAAGAGAGGCTGGGGACACCATCCCTGCCCATCCTGGTTAATAGCCATTGATGGACCAAAACTAAACTCGATGACGACAGCCACAGTCAGATGCCTGGTTCGTGCCCTGACGCTCCAGCTCCAGAATAGTGTGGATGGGAAATGGTCACCCTGGCTCTGCATTGCGGCAAAGCTCTGGTCTCCTCTCCTTGATCTGGGGGTCTCTTTTCAAGTCAGGATAGTGGACCCCGGAGAGTCTTCTGGGCTCTGCTGAGCCAGGGAGACTTTCCACTGATTTCAGTGGGCACTGGGTCAGGCCCTAAGGGAAGTCACCAGTTTGGGGTTCCTGTGAGAAAGCCAGCCCATCATAAAACGGGGAGAAGGCCCCAGCGAAGGGACTGAGGGGCCAGCGAGGCCTTGTGGTCGGCAGTTGCCATGTTGGGCCTAGGCTAGGAGACAGACAAGGTGGGTAAGGCTGTATCTTTTACTGGACCAGCTGCTGTTGGTGAGAGATGTGGGCCCAAGGAAAAATGTCACCTCACCCAGCGGGTCCCGTGATTATCTCACAGTGGCAGGGGCTATTTCCAGAGTGAGGGGCAGCTGGGCTGCCCTGAAGAGAAGGAACCTTTAACAGCGCTGGATACACAAGAACCACACGCCCTTAGACGTTGGGCAGGGGAGGATCAGGGACGGTTCCTGGCTACTGCAAGTTAGCTACACCTCAACACAAGGCCTCCTCCCCAACCGCCCCATCATCACCTTCCCTGCCTGTACCCCAGACAACGAGCAGCGCACAACAGCAGCACCATTCGGTTTCTCCAGCAATGACGGGGCTGCTGACTATACCACCTCCCCCGACACCCACAGAGCGGGAGCTGCGCTTCCTTGAGCAATCCCACAGCAGTATGGGCCATCACCAGTCCTGGGTCCCCTGCTCCAGCCCGGAGAAGGTATTTTTCACCCACACTGAAAGGGAGCATGAGCCATGTAAAAAGGTCTCAGTCTCTGCCCCTGCCCCTTTTCCTTGGCACAATGGGTTTAGCTCAGGGGGGTTAACAAACAACTGCAAGAAAGATCCAGCAGCATCAACAAGCTAAGCGCTGGTTCTGGGGCTTTCACCTGTTGTTTCCCAGGTGACCCCCGTCTTCTCCCACCATCTTGGGCTGAGAGGCTAACGTCAGCAGCCTTTGGAGCCAGCACCAGCCTTTCCCATACCTCTGCTCTGATGACGCACCCATAGTTTGAAATCAACATGTGTCTCACAGCCCCCATTCTACCCCCGAAAGCCTCACTCCTAACACCCCCATGGGCAGCACTTGCTTCTTAGCAGAGAGAGGCCTTGTTTGCATTGGGGTGATTAAAAAAAAACCAGGGCAATTATTTCCAGAATTGTAAAGTAGCATCGAAAAGAAAACAGGGGTGTGTGTGCCTCTGGCTGTGTGTCTAGTTGTGCATCTGTGTCAGTCGCGTTTGTACGTGTGTGTGACGAGATTATGGGTATAAAACAATTGAATTACAATTGAATTACAATTACATCCTTCAGCTATTCATGCTGAGAAACTGAGGTCTCTCACACACACACACACAAACACACTTTTAAACCAATCATTGCAGACAATTTTATTTTAACAAAACTGATCACCTAGCTAGTTATAGCGATAAAGCTGCTTAGCGCTGAGGCAAACAGAGTAGTTACAGAATCCCATAGCTGCTGTTCTACTGATTCCGCCCTTGCTGGCTGGGCTGCACTGTGTACAATTCCGCCCTCTCCGAACGGGCTTTCTTCTTCTCTCGGGCTGCTGCTGCAGGAGGAGGAGAGAAATGTGGCTGCCTAATTAAAATTGTCTCACTCCGTCTCTTTTCTTGGGCTATTGTGACAAGTGCGGCGCTCACTTGGTAAATCATAAATTTCTGGGTAGGGTTGGAGACTTGTTTGGGGGGGTGGGGGTGGTTTGTAGAGAAGATGAAAAGATAATCAAAACATCCATTATCACTCTTTGCCTGTGTTGTGTATGCATTGACCTCAAGCTAGTATGAATCTCAAGAGGCAAAAACAAACTGAAAGCAACCCCTCCTTGAATCTCACGGTGGCTCGATCCAAAGCCCACTGACGAAGCCAATGAAAGTCTTTCGGTCCCTTGACTCGGATGGGCTTGGCAGTTTGAAGAAAGCCTGGCAAACCTCTCTGAGGGAAGATGACTTGGCATTGGAGCCTGGCATTGGAGCTCTCCTGACTCACAAGGGTTTTAATGGGCCTGCAGAAATTGGGTACTTCCGTGAGTAAGGGCTACTCAGCTGAGTCAGGACTACAAGATTAAACCCCTGATGTCATAGACACTTCTTGCCGAATGCTGGAGGGGGGCTATAATAACACTAACCAATAAATACCTCTGACACTGGGCAGCACCATTACAGTACATTGTAAAGAAGAGCGCTCGCTGCACAATATTTCAGCTGCACTGTCTCGTGCCAGAGTTTTTCCAACAATGTCAAGAAGCTAAAGCTATTGTGGCAGAATTTTTTAAACCCCAGTTGCTTCTTTCCTTTTCTTAAAAAAAGGGACCAGGTGAATGAGGATTAGTTAACTAACAGGCCTTGTATTCACTCTGAACGACACGAGCTAGTCACGCTGCCACCAGCTGCAAGAGGCAGTGGTGAAAGGAAATCCACAAGGCTTTTGAAAACCAATTTCTTTTCTTTTTAAAAATTATTAGCCTTTTAAATTTTTTTAAGCAAACCTCTTTCCTGTCACTCCCCTCTCACCCCCCCCTTAAGAATATAAAAATGTTGGAGCATTAGTTGACTAAAGTACAATAAATAACCAGTAAACACAAAAACATACTTTATTTGTTTCTTCTTTATACAAAATAAAGAAACTAGAAGCAAAAACTATAATACATCCTTCAATCCGTGTGGCCTCCAATAAACTTTTGGGTTTGAAGTGGTGTTTGCCAGAGACATTCGGACTTGGATCGCTTTTTTAGTGGTAGTTTTAGTTATATTTCTGCCCAGTGGAAAACAAAACAAACCCCAAGATTCTCCAAACATTAAAGTTCCACAGTCCTGGAAAGCTAAACCAGAACTAACCACGAGGGGTCGCCTTGTCATCAGTGAAGGTTTTCTTTTGCAAGACACACCAATTCCCATTCCCACCTCCATCACCACAAAACGAACCTTCTAATTAAAAAAAAAGTGGATTATGAGGGGGTTCCCCCCTTTCCAGATTAAGATTAAAAAGATGCAATTCTGGATTGAAGAAAGAAAGAAAGAAAGAAAGAAAGAAAGAAAGAAAGAAAGAAAGAAAGAAAGAAAAGCCCCCCCGCCCCCGAAAAGTAGGCAGTCCAGTCAATCAGGAAATCTGTGATCCAGTCCAGTTCAGCTTTGGTCCAAGAGATGCTGCTTCAGATCCTTGCAGAGGTTAGTCAGCATTGGCACGTTTCGGCAGCCGTGCCTGCTCACACGTGGCGAGGAAAAAAGACACTGAGTGCGGGGACCCCCCGCAGCCTGTGTCCTGTGGCTTGGGGTGGGGGTGGGACTCCGGAGAATTTTGGCATCAGTGTCAGGCGGCCGGTTTTGGTTCCTGGTGTCTTAGCCGGAGCTGGGACGAGGAGGCTGGATCTGCCTGGGACAGAGGGAGCCGGGGGTCCCCAGCACCCCCACACCCTCTGGCTGGGTCAGCCCTACCACACCGCTGCCTCGTTCAGCTCCTGGTTTGGATGCGAGAGGGGGCCGCTGTACCCGCTGTTGCTGGACATGGAGAAAGGGGGGCTGGGGCCGCCGCTGAAGACCTCGCCGGGAATGGGGTGCAGCGAGCCGGTCAGGCCCGGCTCGGGGCTCGGGGTGTCAGGGTGCGAGATCATGTCGGTGTACCTTTGGTTTTCGGAGGAGTGGTGTCCGGGGAGCGGGGGCTCCAGGGGCCCCAGGGGCGTGGAGCCGGGCCCTGAGGTTGGAAGGTAGCTGGAGTCTGCTGGGGACTGGGCTTGCGAGGGGGGCCCGTGGGGGAAAAAATCGTAGTTCCCGCCTGGCCCGTAGTAGTCTCCTTGGTAATCTGGAGCAGGGGAGAGAGAGGAGGGTGAGGCGGGGCCGGGGCGCTCCAGAGCCTTCCCGGCCCAGCTGAAGCCAGACTCCCCCAGCGCAGAGCCCGAGGGTTTTCCGGGACTGGCCGGAGCTAGCGCCTCCCACCCCCAGGAGCGGCTGCGAATTGTCTGCGCGTAGGGCCACACAGCCCCGGGGGCCAGGTGCGCACCTCTCCCCGCTGCCGGTACCCAACACACGCGCAAAGGCGGTCAAGGGGTCCGGGTACAGCAACGCGGAGAGGGGCGGGCCTTTGCAGCCGCCTGGCCCGTCGCTTTTGCTCCACCACAGAAGAGCAGCTCATGCAAGTGAGCTTTCAGGGTCCGGCATTTATTTGCTGGCTGCGTCTTTCACTGCCTGTCCCCACCCTAAGCCGAAGGACACCGATTTCCAGATCCTGTGACAAAAACCAGGGAGGGATTGGTTCAAACGCGTTACTGGGGTCCCACAATTATCCAGCTCAATTGTCCAACGGGCGAGCAAGGTCTAGGATCAGAACCAGGGACATTTTTATCAGCTACAGAGATTTGTATCTGACACTTGCGCGCTTTTTTCGGAAGCCACCAAGCTGCAGAATATCCCACTTTCATCACGTGCAAAAGAACAGAATAAACAGATTCCTAACCGGGCACTAGTGACTGTAACCGTTAATAACCCCAACGTCTTCCACTAACCAGATAAAGCGGAAATGCTTTCAGAGGAGATAGAATTATAACAACACGTCTAATAAATATTTTCCGGAGGGAAATGGGAAAGGGGGTTAGGTTGTAATGTTTAAAAGGTTTTGCTTCAAATAAGTAGGAGCGGATGGAAAAAAACAGTGTATTTAAGTCGATGAACCCCCCTAAGTAATATCGACATTGATTGCGCTTTCATCCTGACAAGCAACCTCCCCCCAGCACCCCCCAGAACAACAGCATCGCAGTCGGAATCTTTGAAAATAGCGGAAGTCTCTGGAAAGCCGCGAAATCCTGGACATGATTAGAAACCTCGGGGGGGGGGGGGGGGGAGGAGTAACTGAACGCGCTGAATTTCTTCCCAAACCTAAAAACAAAATAGTCTCCATAATTGTAACTGACCAAAAATTAATAAAAAGAACTAGAAAAGGTGTCACTGTCTATAGCGCTCTGTTAAAAAAAAACAAACAAAACAAAACTACCCTCACAACTCCAGGGAGATCTTTCTCTCTAGATACAGGAGGATGGAGAGAGAGAGAGAGAGAGAGAGAGAGAGAGAGAGAGAGAGATTGTGTAAATGGCTGGATGGAAAAAAATCTCTTATTTAGCTGGCACAGAAGGAAAGAACAGGAGGATTTTTCCCCCGCTCAGCAATGGCAGGGTTGCAAGGGAGGGGTCATTTTTCTAAGCCCCCAGCTCTCGCAGCAGCCAGGCAGGCTGGCAACCCCCAGCTAGGGCTAGCTCCAACTTTCAGCGCCCCCCCCCCATCCCAAGCTGCCTTCAGTGGCGGGGCAATGACCCCCCTACACACCCGCACCCCAACAGGCACCGCTAGGGAGAGATCGGCCCCTGCGTGTCGTGAAGGGGCCGAATTTCGAGGGGCCACATGGCCCGAGCGGGGAGGGGAAGGAGCCGACAAGGGGGAGAAAACAACTAGCAAACACGCAGGGCCCGGCCCCTGTGATAGTGACCTTCCATATGCTCCGGGAGCTCGGAGGTAATTGGAACAAATGCCGTCTGAAAGAGGTACAAAAGGGGGCAGCTGGAGCTTTGTTCCCGGGCACACACGCGGGGGGGGCGGGGGCTGAGTGGGAGCGGGGCTCTGTTCATTCAGACAGCTTCATCACAATGCCCCTTTCTTACTTGCTGCAGGGGTGCAAACTTGGCCAAGGACCGGACGGAATCTCTAACAGGGGGATTAGAGGAGATCTCGACAAGCTGAGCTCGCATTCAGGGCGAGGGAGGGCGGGGGGATGTGGGCGGCTGCGGGGGTGGGGGGGTGGTGGGGGGGGGCGACGACCCTTCAAACAGATGCCACAGGAAGGGTGGCAAAGTCATGGCAACCGGCCCTCACCTTCCCTCCTACCCGCTGCCTTGGCCAGTTGGGTCCTTAGCTCTTTGGTTTCTGGGCGAGAATGATCCGTGATCGGTATCTCCGGGCCAATGAGCAGCGGGAGCGAGAGAGAGAGAGAGATGGAAAGAAAGTGAAGGAAAGATGAAGGGTTGGAAGGATGGAAAGAAGGAAAGAGGAAGGGATGGAAAGAGAAAAGGATGGAGGAATGGAAAGAAGGAGAGAGGAAGGGATGGAGGGATGGAAAGAAGGAAAGAGGAAGGGATGGAGGGATGGGAAGGGACAAGGATGGAGGTATGGGAAGAAGGAAAGTTTGGGAATATGTTGTATTCAAACTCCTCGAACCCAGCGAGATTCCATTACAGCCTGGGGCTGGGGCTGTCGGGCCCCTCTGAACTCCGAGCGCCTTGGGCGGGTTTGTGGACGCGCTAGCCGAGCCCCGCGGCAATGAACTCACAGCATCCCCGGGTTTCGCTGCTGGGGAGCAGCGGCAGAGGCAGGGCAGCCCCCTGCCTTTCCCGTGTTACTTTCTGTACAAGTGATGCTTCCTTTAAAAAACCCACCCAGTCTCTGTAAGGGCAGGAGCGCGCTCCATCTGCCATGCGATGTATTTCTAAGAGAGGGACTGGGAGACGAGGGAATCCCCTTCTGCCTCAAAAGCCGAATCGACACAACCACACACCCCAGCCCCTCACCGCGCCTCTCCTCTGGCCAGGAAACAGCCCCCAAGCCGCAGGGAAGGTATCTTTCTCCTCCTGTCTGTGAGGTGGGTTTCATGACCATTTGCCAGCTGTGCGTCTAAATCCGGAGCGTTTACTCCTGGGAGTAAACTTTATTCAGGCGACGAGTCCTACAGAGCCAGAATCTGGGGTCGGTTACACCGGTGTGAATCCGGATTCACACCAGGGGTAACTGAGGTCAGAATCCGGCCCCTGGCTGTGGACAGGACAGGAGTAAGGTAACCGGCAGGACCGCGCGCCGGAGCAGTAAATTTACCCCCAGTAGTAAAGCTTGGAGGATCGAGCCCTACAGCATCACAGCGGGAGTTTCTCTATGGCGCCCCGCGCAGCTCCTGTGAACTCCGGAACCCTTCACGTACGGGACGGAGAGGGACTTTAACTGGAGATTCACTCTTTCCTTTCTCTCGGGAATCCCAGATTGCATCAGCAGCGCATGGGTGCGATCTAACCCCTAGGGGCACGAGAGGCGGCAAAGTCCCCCAAAGACCGCATCTCTTCCTGTCTATGTACAATCGCCGAGTAGAAGGAGACACACCCGGGAAGCACGGCTCCCCGACTTCTCCCGGCTGCGGAGCTCCCGGAAATAGGACAAGGGCCTACGCGCCGGGGTTTGCTCCACTCAGGCGATGTTCAGGGCACAGAAGGTAACAATTTTACCAGACCCACAAATTCCTTCCCCCTCCCGCACCCAGCCAGGAAAGGCGGTAACAATGAAGAGAATCCGGAGCTAACACTTTGGAAGGAAGTGGCGTGAACCGGATTGGGAGAAAGCACCAAGACCTTCCCTTAAAGACAAACTCCAGAGTCTTACGGCCAGTTAATACAGAACGCAAGCAGCGGGCTCTCTCCTTTAAAAGACACAATGAAATGCTATAAAATGTAATACACTTCAGAGCCTTAATTTCTAAAGGTGGCAAAAGAAAGAATAAAAAGAAACGAGAAAGAAAGAACAAATGAACAAAAGAAAGAAAGAACAGTGATCAAATAGAAAAGAACGAACAAATAAATCGATTAACAGGGGAGAAAAATGAAAGAAGGAACAGTGATCAAATACAAAAATGAACAAATGAATTGATGAACAAGAAAAAAGAAAGATGAAAGAATGAACAATGATCAAATAAAATGAACAAATGAATGGACAAGAAAGATAGAAAAATGGAAAGAAAGAAAAATGAAGAAGAACAATAATCAAATACAAATGAACAAATGAATGGATGAACAAGAAAGAAAAGAAAGAACTATGATCAAATAAAAATGAATGAAAGAAAGAAAGACAAAGAAAAGTGAAGGAATGAAAAATGATCAAGAAGAAAGAAAGAATGAAAGAAAGAAAGAAAAAGAAAGATTCCTCCAGCCTTAATTTGTTTGCTCTGGGATCTGTGTTTGTTTTGTTTTTACAATGTTTGAATACAAAGAGTGTTAGGAGGTCATCCAGGAAGTGATCCATAAAATGCTCATTACCTCCGTAATAAGAGTAAGGGGTAGAACCCAACATTTCAGATTCATCCAGCCTGCCTCCCAGAGGGCGCATGCGCCGAGGACTCCTGAAGAAGGCATGCCTCCTGGCCCCCAGCGCGCTCAGCTGTTTCATTCTCCTCTCTTTGGACCTTCGATTCTGGAACCAAACCTGCGGGCAAATTAAACAACATCAGCAACGTGGTGACAACATCCCCCACCCAGCCCCCCAGCTCCCGCCAGCTGCCTCCCAAGGCCCCGTCAAGCCACACGGGCGCTTTGGAGAGGCCGGCGCAAGAGTTCTGATCTGCCTGCTTTTAACTGGCCGGGCCTGTCTCCTGCACTACGTGTCTGCCCCAGGACGGCCGCGGTCTCCAGACTAATCGACTAACGCACGGACTGGTCTCTGCGATGTAGGGGCGCATAGATCTGCTGCTGTACACATGTATACAGCCAGACCAGGAAGCTGGTGGTGTTAATAGGATGCCAGCTAAGAAACGGGTTCCCTTCACATGATCGCCTCAAGATGTTCCAAGTTTCTCCTGCAGGATTTGCCAGATGAAGGCAGCAGCAAGTCACATCCTCCCCCCGCCAACTCCCAGCTGACAGGCTCCCCGAAGATCCACTTTCCCATTCTTTGGACAAGCTGAATACTTTCTGGACCCTTTACAAGAGGCAGGCGAAGAGGCTCTGAAGAAAAATGAAGAGAAACTTCCAACCGGGGGATTAAACTCTGCAGTTTAGCCAGTGGAGCAGATTGGCTTTGAATTAAAAAGAAGAGGAAAGTTGCGAATGAACTCTGAGAACCATCCAAGAGTGAAGGATTTTTGCACACCCTTGGAGAGGTTTATAATGAAGTGTGCTTCCTACCCCCCCCCCTCCTCTAAAGCCGAGAAGACATATTCATAAAGGCAATTAAAGGGACTTTTCAAACTGCAAACAGTTGTGGGGGTGCCTGCTTTCCTAATCTAGCTATCCACCCATCGACAGAAACGTAGAGCAATACAGAGTGTATGGAGACAGATAGAAATGTATAGCGATAAATGAGAACACGGAGAATATGTACAGCGCCCGAGGCTAAAGCGGGAGGTGGGGGGCAAGACAGGCATTCTTGGACATTTTCCCATCTTGCAGATTTCAGAGGTGAAATACAGAACACTCCATCCCCCCTTTTGTTTGGTCTGGAACAATTTTTTTTTACACGCTCAAAACTATATATTTGCCAACAGTACGGCAAAAACGCCTTTGAATGTATTACTTCAGCAGTAGCAAGAGACCCGAACATTCTTCTCTGGTTTACCTCAATCTATGTCTCTGTTTTGGGACTTGTTTTGATTCCTCCCCAATTTCCTCTTTAATATAAATGTGCAGATTCTCTTAACCAACACTGTGAATAAATCTTGTTGAAAAATGTCAAGACAGACAGCTCTCGGGTTGACCCAGTTTAAAGGACTGATGTTAATTTCTTCTCTAGAACCCCCTTTGCTTTGCAACTTTTTTTATGATTTTCACTTTTAATTTATGATTAGTGGATTTTTGGGCGGGGACCGTTCTGAACTCTTTTCCGCTGACTGGCTTAGCCTGAAAGTCCCACCAGGCAAGTACAGGATAAAGAGATTTTAATGAAGAACTGACATTGCTTCAAATAAGTAAGCAGGGAACTGAACGAAGGTTGAGGCATCTGGTTGACATCGTGTTTGGAAGAACTTGCCATCAGGTATTGGATGGAGATGTAATAATCCGGCCTGCTGGATTTTGCATCCAGCACCAGATACAGCCTATAGACCCGGAGTCTACTGGGGACTGCTTGATCGTTTTTTGTTTTTGGCTAACATGGCCTCCATTTGGGTTGGCATCATCTCCCACTGATGTCAACCGGAGCCTTTTCATTGACCTCAATGGGAGCTGAGTCAGTTCTTTAGAGAACTTGGGTCTGATCCGAAGCTCACTGAAATCGATGGGAGTCGATCCACTTTGGATAACTCACTCAAAGCGCTGCCCAGAGTGCGTGGGGGGCTCAAACCCGCACGGGAAAGGCTGAGTCCCAAACTCCAGGCCTGGGTTGGTCAGCACGTCTGCAGATCCACGTCTGGCGTAAGGGCCAGGTCCAAAGGACTGGAGCCTTTCCATCGAGTTCAGTGGGCTCTGGAGGGGGCGCTAAGCACACCAATGCTTGAGACTGAGTGTTGGCTTTCGCCTGAGGACTCTTCAGATGAAGAAAACAATTATATAACTAGAGAGCTTTCAAAACAAAATCTCTGATCATCATCGCTAGTACTAACAGTGGCCAATTATTAGAACTGTTATCATAATATTGACAAGAGGAAATTGTCCTCTTGGTTAGGCGAGAGGAAGAGTTCAGTATCTAGAGAACACCACAAGAGGGACAGCAAGAATTGAGCAGTGGCGTGGGAGTGAGGGGTCCTAGGTTCGAGTTCCAGCTTTGCCACATGGATGAACCTTTGCAAATCACTTCGCTGCCTTGTGCCTCAGTTTCCCCATCTATAAAGTGGGGGCTTACCTCATTCGTAAAGCCTCTTAAAGGGGTATGTATAATTATTACCAAGGGGAGATATTCATGGCAAAGATCTACTTGGCCTCGCCTTTTTTAATATATGCCAATTTCCTCCGACACTTTGGCATCTTGCCAGAACCCTTTTCTTTAAATATCAGAATTTTCTCTCCCCTCCTCCCCCTCCCACTTCTCACAGCCCTGAAGTGGGACTGCTGAGTTTGGGACGTCACAGTCATCTCCATGGCGACAGGCTGTGATGTAACAAAAGTAGGTGGCTGGGAGCTGGACCCCAAGGGATCCAAAGAGAGGGAAGCAGGAATGACTCGGATACGTGCTCGCCCCACCTGGTTAAGCAGATGGCGATGCTATGGGCGGTCACTCTAGTCCCTGTTTTTGATCCTTTCTCCTATGCTCTGCTATGACACCTCTTGTAGCTGCGCTTGTCTGTACCTGGATCACTCTCATGTTGAGCCCTGTCTCCTGGGCCAGCTGTTCCCGGATGTGCCTGGTAGGTTTGGGGGTAGCAGCAAAGGCAGCCTTGAGAGTCTCCAGTTGCTTGGCTTTAATTGTAGTCCGAGGTCCCCTCCTCTTGGTGCCCGAGTTCTGTTCCTCGTTCTCGTTGTTGGTGGTCTCTTTGTCCGAGGAGGTGGAGTTGTCTGTTTCCTTTGTATCATCCTGCATGGGGTCCTGAAGATCCGGGGACAAACTTCTGTCTGTACAGGAGGACACTGCAAGGGAGAGGCAGAGGGAGATGGATGACTCTGGGCAGAGACGGGACCTTCACCCCCACTGTCCCTCCCGGGGAGGGGGGGGGGGGGTTGAACTTCTTTGGAGGCTAGATCCTCCTAACTCTCTGCGCTAATTTAACACGAATCAATCACTCCCAGTGAACACCACGAAGAGTTAATGAGGGGTCTGAATTAGCAGCAACATGGGCTCATCGGGCTATGTGGCAACAGGGAAACACAACACCCCCGGCCTTTTCTGCCACTCGAGCAGGCAGAGGGTGTGACTCCGGTGTGAAACCTCTGGCTTCGGTGGCGTCGCATCGGATTTACGACAGGGTGACTGGATCCGGATGGCAGATTTGCAACCCATTGGCATAGAGGGAGCTGTCCAAGGCTCCCACACTGGGGAAGGAAGCGCTTTCGTTTGGACCAGCTGAGCGTTTTCCTTTAAGACACAAATCGAGCCACAGCTGGGGAATAAGAACCCCTGCCACAAAGCCTTGGCTGTAACCACCGGGGCTCGGGGATTTCATTCACCACCTTGGCCCTGGCTCATCCCCCCTCGCTTCGGAGCCAGCAAAACCCTGACTCTGGGATCGGAAATAGGCCAGCTGCCCGCCTCCCCCGCTCCCAAACAGGCCCCTAATGTGAAGACCGCCGGGCAACCTCTGCTCGCCTGGCTCAGAGCAGCGCCCAAGGGAGCCGCCTGACAAGATCCAGCCGCAGGTATGACCCCAGGGGAAGGGGGTGAGCACAGGCCACAGGCATAGACCGCTGTGCCAGTGAGGACCCGATCCCGCTGCCCTGATGCCGAGACAGCTTCCAAGGAAGTCAAACGGGAGTTCCGCCTCTGCCTAAAGAGAGGAGCATCGGGCCCACAACGCGTGCTCCTGTGAATGCGAATAGCCTGCACTGCACACACACGCCGCAATGAGACACAGACACAGCAGACTAACAGAGCTGGGGATCTGGGGCATTCAATCCATTGCGTTTTATGAGGGGCTCTGACAGAGAGAAAGGACGGAAAATCTGAGGATCTGTGTTTGATTCTAGGGGAAAGGAAGGCAGTTTATCAGTAGAGGGAGAAAGTGGAAGGCCTCAGGCGCTGTTAGCCCCATGGCAGTAAAGGGATCGCTCCCCTGAGCGAGGGTTGGGCGCTTGGGGCCTTGTCTGGAGTCTCTTCGCACATAAGGAAGCCGGGAAAATATCCCAAGCCATGGGGATTTTTTAAAGATCGCAGAGCGTGGATGGCGTTTAGGGGAAGGTAATGTTCGTAGCCCAAATCAAACAGGAACCCGGAAAAACAGCTGTCTCCCCAAACTGCCACATCCCCCTTCCCGGGTCTGGTCACATGTTCCCAGCTGGGTCTGTAAATGTAATTGACAGCGGTCGCTTTCCCCCAGCGCCTGCTGAATGTGCGGCCTGGATTTTTTTTAAGTGGAAATATCTCTTCGCTCTTCACTTCCAACCCTGGCTTTACCCTGCATCCTCCTCCCACTCCAGCCCCTTCCCCCCAGCCCCTCCCCCCAGGTTTTAGTCCACTTTTCTGCTCTCCCTCCACCCTCTCCGAACCGTCCGTATTTTGAGAAATAGGAAAAAAAGAAAAGGGGGAGGGGACCCAGATATATGTATAAAGATCGAAAGTAATAAATCGGTAAAGGATCCCCCCCAATACACCCACACTTGTGGGTATCGGACAGCGATAGCTCAGGTTGTATCTGATGCCAGAGCGTGTGTGTCTGTGTGTGTGTGTGTGTGAGAGAGAGAGAGAGAGAGAGGCCCAGCCAATACAAAAAAGACTTCAAAACCCTTCTTGTTTTCTAGAATTTGCAGTTTTCTAGAATTTGCTGTTGGAATAAGAAACTAAAATCCCCTCCCGGATGCGTTTTAAATTCACACCTATGCTAGGCCTCTACGGTCCCACCCCCGGTTAGAGGCTGGCGGAGGCTCCATACCTGAGTTGAGGCTCCCTTCCTTTAGGCTGGGCGAGTTCAAATAGTCCTCTTTGCAAACAAATTTGTTTTCGTCTATGATATAAAGTTCCTCTCCGGTGGAGAGCTGTTTGTTGCAAACCATGCACGTGAAACAGTTCAGGTGAAAGACTTTGTTTCGGGCTTTCCTGACGAGGTCGCTTGGAGAGATGCCTTGGGAGCAGCCTGCGCATTTGGTACCGAACCGCCTAAAAACGGAGGAGCGAGCGAGAGAGAGAGAGAGAGAGAGAGAGAGGAGGAAAGTAAATACCCGGGTGCTTAGCGGCCCGGCCTCCCAGTCCCCTATAAGTGCATCCCCCCAACTGCAGGCGCGTGGGTGGAGGGGGTGGGGAGATGAGGCCATGAAAGCAATTGCCTGGATTCCGACAATGAAAGGAAAGCGGATTTGGTCGCCAACAAAATGCGTGCGCAAAATGATTCCTCTCGCGGCGAGCAAAACGCGTCTCAAGTAGCCCAAGAGAGGACTCGCGTTTACTTGTGAATGATCGCCCAGCACCGAGTGCCCTTGTTTGACTCCATACAAATGGACACCCCCCTCACCCGCACTTCAATAGTACCGTCTCCATGGGAAATATTCTGGGGTGTCTGTTTTGTTTGATCCCTCCCTTATCTCCGGCAGGTAGAAAGTGTCCTCGGCATTACAGCATTTGCTCAACTCGCTTTTGCTCAGACACGGCGCGGAGGAAGGGAAAAATCCTTCTCTTTGGGCCGCCCAAGTTGGGAGGCGAAGGGGCAATTTTCGGAGCTGTATTTTGGGGCAGACATGCATTGGTAGCTAGATCGCAGCTCAGAATAAGGCGAGGGAAGTGGACCAGGTTTTTATACATGCGCGTGAATGCCTGTGATGCAGATGGGCCGCTTTAAGGAGCGGCCACGGTTCGGTGTAAAAAATAACGATCCGCTTTGGTTTTGCGGGATTTATGGAGCAATTTTTACACCCCACTGTATCCACCAGAAAGCTGCAGAGCGTTTGCATCCTTTTTCAGGCTGCATTTCGCGAGGACATAGGAGGTAATCAATGGATCTTCCCTCACAGTCATAATTCCTATGAATATTCCTGTTCTCTTCCATGAGGTCACATCTCAGTTAGTAAATATCTAACCGGGACACTTTGGTTGTTAGAGGGGTGGTTAGTTCCAAAAGAGAAACACAGAGGGCTGCTTATTTAATTCAAAATACAAGTGGGGAGAGGGGATATGAGGATCCTAAAAAGGTCTCCCCCTTCCCCAATAAAACAACCCACACACCAGTGCTGAAAATGGGTCTAGTTTTGATCTCCTTTTATTCTGCATTCCAGCCCCCTTCCCGATTGATTGAATGATTGATTATTAAAGGGAATATTTTTCCTAGGGAATGATCTATATCAAGCAACAGAATCGTATCTGTTTTTCAAAGCAGGTAATTTAGTTTCCACTTTGGGGTGTTGATTCGGGCTCCCTAGAGGTTTGAGGGCTAGTGGAAGTGGGGTGGACGATGGGGGAGAAGGTGGGGAATAAAACTGTTTTTTTCCCTCCCTTGTTTAAACACAACTTCTAACAGCTTCACTTTCCATGACGTTGATTTAGTGAAAGCATTAGAAGTCATAAGTCATTTTTTTGTCTTATCCTGGAGCATAATTGGCTCATCTGCACCTTATCAAAAATCATTAAAGGCATTTAAGGAGTTGCAGCGTGAGGGGTGCTGAATGCAAAGGGGCCGTTAAAGGTAGTTTACATGTGTAAAGGCGAGTGTGACACTTAACCTATTCAAAATCACCTTCATTAGGGCCTACTGGACTAGGAAAACTGCCGTCTCCCTCCACTCTGTATTAATCATCCCCTGAGCTTTTCACCCTTTAGCTAAACAAATGCCCACATTTACCTCAGTTACAGCCAGAAACAAAAGGCCAGGCGATATTTAGGGCGATTTTACATTTTCAATGAGTTCATTTGTTGATTTAAAAGAAAAAGGGGGGAGGGAGGGGAGGGGACGGGACAGGACAAGTTTGCTCTGCGCACGTATAGCCAATTAGACCACAAAGCCTTGCTCCTAACCCTTGCTAGGAACTTTAGTGTGCTTTTGAGAATTCCCAGTTCAGGCAGGAATGTTGGGGCAAAGGAGTTTGGTGATGTCCCCCCATATTCCGCTCTCTGGCCTCTCTGCACTTGAGTTCTGATTTACGCTCTGTCTCTCCGCAATACAAGTAGCTTTGTTTTTAAAGCCCCGGGGCATTCGAAAATCAGTTTTCTGTTGAGAGAAGTTTTATTCTTCTGTACTCCGGAATGATTTTTTTAAAGTAACCTACAAACCCATACTCTCTCGCCTGGCGTGCGATCCGCTCGGATCTGGCTCAACCGTGTGCATATACCTACATTAAAAGCATTCGAATCGGGTTACAGAGCGAACAAGGAGCGTGGAGGCCCCCCCCCCCCAGTTCTAGGATCTTCCCTTCTGTACAGAAAACTCTGAGGAATATCGCAAAAGGAGGAAATTGACAATAGGGACAACAAGACGCCTGCGGATTTTAAAAAATCACTGAAACCGACCTGGCGTGCGGCTAATAAATGGATCCCCCCCCACCCACAGGCACATATAGGGTTCCTTTGGGGAATTGGAGTGGCATATAGATCTGACTCCTTCTGCAGCATCGGGAGTCCACAGCGACCGATGGAGGAGACGCCAGCAAGGTGCCAATTACAGAACGCGCTCAGCTTAGTGTCTAGGACGCTAGGCAAAGCGCAGAAGCAGGGTATCGCTCTGTAACCTTGCCCCGCTATGCTAGCCAAGCAGGCGGGGAAGGGTTCCTCCTTGCGGGACTTACCTGAAAAAGTCATTTTTGCAATAAAGCTTGCCTTCCCTGGAGAAGCATTTCTCCGTCAGGTTGCACTTGCATTCGCAGCACTGGACACATTTAATGTGCCATGCCCTGTCCAACACGTTCAGCAGAAACCTGTCCAGGATGGGCCGCTCGCAGCCTGCACAATGCACCATCATGACCTCCGCAGAGGAAGGCGAGACCAGCAAAATAAAGCAGAATGCAACCCCCACCCCGCCGCCGAAAGCGATCGCAAGGGGGGGAAACGGAAAACAACACTGTCAGCTTCTTGCCTTCTTCTCCTGGGCGTCCTGAGGGCAGGCAAAAAGTGTCGCGTGGACTTCCCAGACCCCCCCCCACTCTTCCCCCAAGCCCCCCACACCTCTCCTAGCAGGTTCAATGTGGGGAAGCCAAGCAAAGATATCCTGGTGGGGTGACTTGCCCGGTGCCTTTCAATTTAGCAGCATCTCGGCCTGGAGCAGCATCAGTGCCTCTGTGGAAGCAGCCGGTCCACGAAAGGGATTAATAATAACACATAACAATCATAATAATCATAAAAAGCCAGGAGCCCGGTGTTCCTACGTCTAGATGGCTGGTTGGGACTTTTCTCCACTTTCACGCTGTTCCCATCTTCAGCTTTGTCTCCCAGTTTAGTAATTCGCGCATCCTTATTCAGATTTGGTGACGTCTCCCGGAACGTAGAGAGGCCGAGGGCCAATGAGAAGGCGGTGGCCATGGCAACCTCTTAATTTATAGCATATCTAAATTGGCTCCAGCCTTGTGCTTGGCACAGAGGGAAAAAAACAAGGCAGCACTATTGTTGAGTAGTAGGTTTTACCTGGTGCGGGGGCTAAGTAAGTATTTACCTTTATTTTGTTTGCAGGGGTGGGTGGGTACAGATTTACTTTTTGTGGTGGTGGGGGGGGGTTAATATTTTATCTTTCTCTTCTTGGGGCGCTGGGGGGAATGAGACTTCAGAGAGGTCACTGCACCTGCAAAACCAGCTCTGTTTCGCCTCCGTGTCAACAGAAAGCCAGTGAAAGCAGCTAATGGCCTCTTTGCATAAGCAGAAAAGGTGGAAATTCTGGTTCTTTTGTCAAGTGATCTCCATGAATCCAAATTTAAAAAAGAGAAAAGCCAAAGGACCCCGATCTAGGGGGTGTTTAGGCCACTGTCATGCTGAGGGGAGTGCCCCCCAGGAGAAGGCAGGTTCAGACTATGTCTTGGGATAAAAAGTTATCTGTCTTGTACTTCTCAGATATTAAGGTAATTGACCCCCCGGCGAGCTAGTTGGCCTTTGTTATACAGATGGGCTGGGGGGAGCCTTTTTAAAAAAAGGTTTACTTTGAGTAATTTACAACATCTTTAAAGCCAGAGTCAACATGAGAATGAAGGGAGGAGAACCAGGAAAGCAAACCCCCTTTGGAAAGAGAGAGCCTTTTTGTTCTTGTGCTGCTGTATATGATTTTTCTCTTTAATTGCAGGTCCTGCGGACTTTTAAATGACCCAGTCACCTTTGCGCAAGGTGATGGCTCGAACGAATTTACCTTTTTAAAGAAATGTTCTAGAGCTGAAAATATGTCCGAGTTAAAATAAAAGTTGTTGTCTTCAACTGCTACTCTGGGAGAGATGGATGGATGGATGGATAGATAGATAGATGGATGGATAAGAAGTTATAGCAATAGATAGATGATAAGATGTTGATAGCTCATCTATCTAGCAATTAGATAAATGAGAGGGTATAGCAATGGATAAAATAGATTAGATGATAAAATGTTATTGATAGATGATCTAGCTAGCAACAGATAGATTAGAAGGTGTAGCTCCAGATTAACTGGGTAGACAGACAGAAAATTAAATAGATAAGAATGTATAACAACAGTGAAGAATGTATATAGCTGGTTAGGTAGATTGGAACGTATGGGGAGGAGATATGGGAAGGTACAGCAATCGATATATGATAGATAAGAATAAATGGCAATAGATAGATTAGTGGGTGTAGCCATAGATGGATAGATAGAAATACAGTTAAACAGATACAAATGCATAACAATAGTGCAGAACCTCAAAATGGGATTTTCTCTAAAAGCTCTGCTCTGGGAATTATTTTGCGGGAAGTTCTCGGGCCTGTTACACAGGAGGTCAAACTAGATGTTCACAGTGGTCCCTTCTGGCCTTGGAATCTATGAATCTATCCGTGTGCAGGGATAGATAGAGAGATAGATCGGGCTCCCTAGAGATAGGTGAATCTGTATAGCTATAGATAGATCAGTACATTTCACTTAGCATCGTTGGATTAATGTACTTGTTGAACCTAATAAATCTAATATTTGCAAATGTTTCAGTAAGAGCGCTTTTCAAGTGTGTAAATCCGAGTTTTGGAGACAGGTATTTCAATTAATCCATCCACAATGCCTTAGTGAGCGAGGCCGGCTGCAGCTGGCCTGCTAAACAAGGGGGGACGGTTTGTTTGCAGGATGTGGTTGTTGTTGTTACTTAGGTGTGTGTGTGTGGTGGTGGTGGTGGTGGGGGTTTGGGAAGGCCGATCCCCGGCTTCCTCCTCCTTTTGTCATGTGAGGGACAAATGACAACTCTGGCACAATAGATTAAGTTATAAGGTTCTCTTGCTCTGTCCCCCCCGCCCCCATTCCCACCCCTCTAGAAGGGGAGGGCTGGACAAGTGTTTCACAAAGCGTTTGTTAATGGGAAAGTACCCAAATGTTTAGTTAGTCATTTCATTAAGTCTGGTAACGAAGAGAACACTTAGACACCAATGCGGAGAGCTGCATTTTTTCCGGAGCCTTGTGGGGTGAGGAGAGGGTGAAGGGCGCAGCTTAAAAGCAGCTCCGAGGAATCCTGCTATAAATAAAATAACCTCTCTCCCAAGCGCCGGAACCCCACCAGCAAACGGGGGCCGCTAGAAATCCAGGTAGATGTGCGGAGAGAAGCCCTTCTTCCGTCAGCGGCATCGCTGGCTCAAGGATCTAAGAGACATAGTTTCCCTTTCACACTTAGTAAAAATCTTTCTTCGAGGGAAAAATAATTGACTTGAAGTTTAGTGATACCCTCCCTCTTTTACAAAAAGGAAAGGGGAAATTAAAAAACCCTGAGAGTCTTTCCAGCCTTCTTCTATGACAGCAGCCTGGCAACCATTTGTACGCACAGAGGTTTCTTGTTGTTAGCTGATTTTCTTGTATGCATTTTTTTTTAAGTCGGGAGACCAAAAGCGTTTTTGGTTCCTTCTTGGGGCTTTAAAAACCTGGATTTCATGAATCTTTTGCACTAGTTAATATGTCAATAGGGAAATTCCCCATTGTAGCGGAGAGGTACCCCTGGTAGGATAAATAAAAGTCAATATCCATTAATGGTCTCCGTTCCATACAAAAACAAACTGATCATTCACCAGAGCAAACAGCAGAGGCTGAAATTCACAAAAAGGGTAACATTCTCTGGAGGGAGGAGGAGAGAAAAATCTGAGGAAATATTTTTACAACGGTTAGGTCAAAATATTATATCTCAGGGCAACACGAAAATTACTGTGGTTTTTTGGTTTTGGTTTTTGCTTTGGAATGGAATAGTTCTTTCCGGAATATGAGTCAAACGTGTGAATATTTAAAACACACACACACACACACACACACATACATACATACACACACCTTGGTCTGTTTGCTTCGTTGTCTATGTACATATACAATATTTACTAATATATAATTTATAGACATATGTAGTCTAAACCCACGGCTATTACACATTTGTACACACTATACTATATACATAGTCACACACATTTTCTATCTTATCTAATATAACACTTATACCAATTCTTCATATTTATTTGCCCACGGGTAATATTCGAACGCTTATATCTGCGCACGCCTCCCTCCCACACCAGTTGTGATCACACAACATAGTCACCACGTTTCACACATCAGCCCGCTCCTGGAAAGCTACTCCACGTTCTAGCCATGTATCCACCCCGAGAATTTATTTTACCATCGTTTGCACATAAACGCGAGCAGGAGAGACCGCGAAAGCGAAGCCAGCGGCTACTTTGCAAGGTCCGAGATATGCTCAGGGTCTGGGAGTGCGTTCATTTACCATGAAATAATTCATATTGATTTTCTTATGATCGGACCCCTTCCCCCTCAAGGAAACACACTCGGGGAAGAATCGTAATTGTCGTCTTTGGTATGCTGTAGGTGACCCCCTCAGACAGAGAATTTTAACTCCCGTGGACACATCCAGGGACATTAAAAACATAAATGAAAGGAGGCGGATTGATTTCGGTTTCTCATGAACACTGGTCACAAACGAACTAGGCTGAAAAACTCCCCCCGAGCAGCGCGTCCGGAGCACGGCGTGTGGCTGGCATGGCCCCACCCGGCGTTCCTGCGAAAGGGGAGCCGCCGGTGCTGGGAGTTTCATAGGGTCTGAACCAAAGAAAGTGGGGGCCGGTCTGCATTCGGCACTACAGAGACTGTGGAAGAATAACTGACCCGTGCTTAAATTGCCAGTGTATAAAAGGAGAAGTTCCATTATACAGCTCGGTCTTAGCTACAGCTAGAAGGTGCACAAGTATAATGCACATCTGTAACCGTCTAGTCACACATCCGAGGTTCATTTCAGCCTGTATTCATCAGACTGCATATATTATAATTCTCTCTCTATAATTTTAATATATTATATATATTTTCTGATGAACACAGGCAGAAATGAACAGCAGAGATGTGTGTATAGACGGGTATGTATGTACATTTGCATTTCAGATTATATATGTTCTGTGTTCTTGCACCTATTATATACAAACACATGCCTACATCCTTATATGCACACTATGTTGACCTATGTTGAATTCCTTTGTATCTTTGCGTGCGTAGGTGTCTATGTATCAATATAGAGGAAGACTCAAATAACAGAACTACGGGCCTAGAATAGTGCAAATAGGGTTTTGTCTCTGTAAAGACCACATGCTATATACAGATTGATACAACCAATATGACACCCACACACAGTATCTTCTCTCTCTCTCTCACACACACACACACATGTTCTTTCGTGTCTCCTTTCAGCGCAGTAAACATGTCCTCTACAGGTCCCGGGTCCATTTCCTGTATGTCACCTGGTATTTATTTTGACTGGTAATGTGGAGAATAAATATGCAGTCACTCTAGCCTGGGCAATCAGCACCTGCAACTAGCAGATAACAACCGTCATTTGGCTCTGTGGCTTTCCACCAGCCCCCCCACCCCCTCCCCCACCCCAACTGCTTCCCTCAGCAAACCCTTCTTCTCCATTAGCTTTGGGGAAAGGGGGGTTGCTTTCTCTTCCTTAAATCTCCCAAGTTCTACTACAAACCAAAACACCAGCAAGAACTATTGGGCACATTACCCCTATGCTAACCGTGGTGACAGATGGCTGTTCAGGCAACATAATGTCCTCCTATATGTAACTAATAAACCTATTGTGTCTTAACAGGGTAATGCATGGAGAAGCAGTGTCACTTATCCAAGATGGTGATGGAATTTACTATATAAAAAAATCCCCTTTCAAGAGTAAAGTGTATCAACATTACAACACAACAGACGGCAGAGGGATAAGTAAAACAGACAAAAGACAAACAAGATAATAATCTGTTTCCAATCAGTTAAGCCCTGTAGAATTTGTAATATGCAGTTTGCATATTCCCCCTTGTGTTTGTAATTAATTATCTATCTGTTAGGATGCTCCGCAGACGAGTTTGTTGATATTTCATAGTTTTGTTTTGTTTTTTTTGGTCGTGGTTCATCATCATCGTTGGTCTATCTTCGCCGTGTTACTTGAAACAGCTGGGGGGGTTGATTGTGTCCGGGGGAGTGTTATTCTGAAGACAGCTCCCCTTGAACAACTGGAAGGTTTAAAACACTATTTTAAAAAAAACCGAGAGACGGATTCCCCCATTTTGCATTGAAATTTCATTTGCTCTTTCTTGCAAAAGTGGCTTCCGTTCAAGCACTGGGATAGCGGCCCGGAAGAAGGTGATGCGAAAGCGACTCGAAATCGCTGGTTCTGTGCTAGCCCCCCCGCCCCCCCTTGCGTCACGAGAGATGCAAGACATTTTTTGCATGATTTTCATCATTAAAATCTCCTCCTTTCCCCTGGTAAAGGGACGGTGCAGTTTTTAACATTAAACAAACCCAGCAAGAATCTCGTGGCTGGGCTATAGGCGCTTTCTGAGTGGCTGCGTTACAAATTGTAAATTTAAATTGCTCACAGGATTCATTACCTCCTGCGTTTGATTTCAGCCAGCCGTGAAAAATTGTACTGGTCTACCACTGAGAAAGGGTTTGCTGCAAAGAGCCGGAGTCTAATCACCAGGGCTCTCTCTCCAACAAAAGTGTAATTATTTTGTTTTGGGTGTAAATATAACCCACGGTACAAAAAAGACAAACCCCCAACAGCGTCTGAATGCATTACAGGAGCGTTTAAAGAGATCTGCCCTCAATTAATACCAAGGTTGAAGGAAAGGCAGCTGGGGAATTTGGAACTTCAGGGCACTCCCTATATACATATATACACCCCCCCAACAAAACACTGCACAACGCCGAAATAACAGAGCGCACTCACTTCCACACACACTCAAAGTAATAACACTGCTTGCCTCCCCCCCCCCAAATATCCATACATACAAAACAACACTGCATGCCCAATCTCACACACATACATGCCGCACAAAACATACAGATATGCACACACGCAAAATAAAACAATTCCACTGCGCACACAAACATACTAACATGACTACACTACACCACAGAAAGTAATAATAATGCGCAACCCCCTGCGTGCACCCGGAAAAATCAATTACACCACACTCACAAACAGAGCAAGATAACACATCTTCACAAACACACAAATAATAACTGCACGCACACCACTCATGCACAAACATAACAAAATGACACCACACACCCACAAGAAAATAACCCACCTTAAATGCACACTTATGCATAACAAAATAATTGCACTGCCCCCCCCCATTATTGCAACACACACATGTGCAAACACAAAACAAGATAATTATACTGCACGCAACACACCCGTGTTTTTGCACAGGGTGGGGCATATGTATGTATAAATGTGTAGGTCTAAAGGTAGCGTTTAGATTACTAATTTACAGCAAAATATTGTAACAGATATTTGCAATTAAACATCTGTAGAGAGTGACCGCTTTCTCTCAGGGTGTGTACATACACACGTTGGTAAGATCTCTGTGCCCAACCCAGGGCATGTGTGTTTCCTATGGTGTCTCTCTATAGACTAAATGCAAATACAACCAGGGCTAATATTTGATAAGAATCTGGAAGCCCATTAGCCATTTGGAGCTGGGCAGGTCTGCAGTGCTAGGAGACTTTCTCCTGCAACCTCTGAATGCCAATCCGAATTTCTTTCTTGGCATCTTCCGTTCTGGTTTTTTTTTTTTAATTTCACTAGTGCCAGGAAAAAGGGTGCGCGGGGGGGACGGGGACCAAATCAAGTACATTAAATCCTGGTAATTAATTGTCTCATTAAATGGGCATTTCTTTCACCTACAGAATGAATGTGCTACCGAGACAAAAAGGAGGGGGGCTCATTTTCCCTGTCCTTTATCTTTCTCTCCGAGCGGCAGCGGGCTCTCCCGCAGAGTGTCTCGGAGGAAGTTATGGAAAATGAAGGTAACCAACTAAGCCCCAAACAGGACTTTGAAAGGCGCAGGGCTGAATTACTAGCGCGAGGGAGAGACAGACCAAATCCAATCAATGCCGTTTAAAGAAGAAAACCAGAAGGGCGAGGCACCGACCCTCAGCGCGCCATGGCTTTCCCGGTGTTTTATCACCGGTGTAAAAATCACCTGCACATTAATGCTGGGCTCCTTTTCAAATAAACAGCTCGCCTGGATCTTTGAGAGACGCTGCTGCCCGGCACGCTTCGTTTGCTCCTCCGGGGTGGCTGGGTTCGGATTTAAGCAGCCGGTGTATCCGGGGGCTCGGGGGGGGGGGAAAGGAACACAAGCGGTATTTTAGGGTGATTTTCAGTTACTTACTTTGAAGCTGTCTCTCTCTCTCACACACACACAGAGGAGTAATACATGTACTCGGTGGGCCAGATCTTTCAGCCTTCCCTCTCTCCCCAAATCCACCCCACAGTGGTTGGACGGATGTAAACATAGCGCCGTTGCCCAGATATATTCTATAGGGCATGTCACCGAGAGGAAAAACGTATAGATCCCTTAATACGGATCCTATTGTAATGATATTCGTTATTGTGTATCCGTCTATAACCAGGCGTGTGTAGAACATGCATGTGTGTTATACAGAGTAGTGTATAGGTGTATACACAAACAGAACTATACACAGCTGTCACTCGATTCGATTTAGTGACAACTCCTCATAGCAATCAGGCCACAACACGCCTGCTTCTCCTAAAGGCCCCCGCTTTGGAGGTGTTTAAAAGGGCGGAGGCCCCCTGGATTGGCTTTCCCAAGGAACCAGGCCGGGTTCCTGGAGCACTGCCTTCATTTGACCCGGAGCTGCCGTGCCCTGCCAGCCCCAAGAAGCGAGGTTTGGGAGTATGTTATTCTCCCCTGTCCGTCCCCGTGCGCTGCACAACGCGCTCCTGACACATTTACCTGAGCGCCCCCCTCGCAGCGAGCCCCGGGCTTTGCTTCCAGGCTGCGGGCTAGGAGAGTGGCGACCGCGCCTTCCCCAAGCCTGCGTCCAGGAGACCTGGCAGCGCCAATGGCCCGATCCAAAGCCTAGTCAAGGGGAATCTTTCAGCTGACTTCAATGGATCAGGCCCTGAGTTCGGAGCAGGGAGCCAAAGGAGGCCCTGGACTGGGAAACTGTCTGGGATCCCCAGCCTCCAGCCAGTGCGCGTTTTCTTATAGGAAGGGTATTTTGAACAGTTGATTTTGAATTGTATTTTTGCATGGCACTTCGCCGCACCTTGCCCACACCCAGCACTTACGGAGCCTAGTGTCCGGGTTAATTTCCAATGCAGCCCGATTAAGCGGTAGCCCGCAAAACACGCCTGCTAGTGCAGTTTCTGATGCCCAAATTCTTTCACTTCCCAGCCTCTTGTCAACGGCTCACAGCACAGAGGACAGCCGTGCTGCTCCCTGCTACCGTGTGGCCGGGCGTGGGCTGCTCTGCCGTTGAAGGAGAACCGACCACAGGCTGGATCTTGTTTCCATGCGTGGACCTGATTTTGAACAAAGATTTGCGCTTGAGTTTTCTGGTGTGTGCGAGTGTGAGTGAGTGTCCTTTACATAAAGCTAACAAAGGCAAACGAACACTTACCATCCTGCATTATTATTATTAATTATTATTATTTTATTTTAGCATTTGTGTTTCAGTGAAATAAAAGATCGCGATGCTGGTATAAAAAGCGTGGCTGGGAAGAAAGACAGAAGCCCTTGAAAACTTCAGCAGCAGGAGGAAAACAGCCCAGGGCATAACTGTTCTGTCTCTGCTAACATGGGGGAGGGTTTGCAGAGTTTGTTGATCCAAATTTTGGTTGCAGCCCTCTTCTCTTATATCCCCTTGTTAGTTTAATTGCCCTTTTGAATGACTCGTACTTTGGTGGAGAAATTCTCTCTGTGTGTGTCTCTCTGTATTTGCGGCTAATGATTGCCTGTTGATGTAGCGAGCAATGCCCTCATTTGCCTTTGTTTAGAAAGTGTTAAAAGGGAAATCTGCATTAGAAAGCTCGCTGCATCCACAGCTCAGCACAAGGCGGGGAAGCCCCACACCTGGGAGCTGGGCCCGCAGGGGGAGAGAAGGAAAAGCAGGGATCGGGGTAGCGGGTTTTTAAAAGTAATTTCCAGTATCTTTGGAAGTGACCTGAGCCGATGGGGACGGAGGGCGGTGTGTGTGTGTGTGTGGGTGTCTTGTGAAACTTTAATCTCCTGCCTCCTAGATCTACCCCAGGGGCTTGAGAGGGCAACACTCTGGTCCTGTTAGTGAAAGGGTGGGGCCAATCAAAGTGCGTGTGTGTGTGTGTGGGGGTTCCTCGCGGAGAACAAAACGCTCTTGTTGTCAGGTCCAGATTCCGTCTGCGGAATCTAAAGCCGGTCCTTTCCCAACGCGGCCCAAGACAGACGGGAAAGGAAACAAATCCCGACTCTGCTCTTCGCTACGTTCCGCTGCCGGGGTTGGAGACTGTTGTGGGGACAAAGGCTGAGTTGTCACGGTCACACACACTCCTGCGCCGGTGGAGAGGTCTGGTGTCTGGGGTTAATTTCTACGGGGATGAAATGATATGGCTGGAAGGGTTCACGACAGCCTGGCGGGGAAACTTGTGTCCGCCAAGAAAATGCGCAACACCTCTCTCTTCCTAAACTTTATTTTAGATCGTTGTTTTTTAAAATAGTCTTTCTACTCAGTTACGGAAAGTCCCACTTTTCTCCTTTGGATACGATTCAGGAGCAGTCGATAGTGTTGGGTTTTATTTTAAAAGATGCACTTTTCCTTCGTTATTTATCTCCACACCTCACTCCTCAATCCGATTTGCACGGGGGGGGGGGGGAATGAACGCTATTTTTTGGAAGGCTGTCCAGCTTTTTGGTGCTAAAAATTAAACGCACTTTAAAACCAAGAAGTGTGAACCTCCTTCTTTGTTGGCTCACACAGCTGATAAATACACGGGCGTCTCTCTCCAGCGCACGGTTTTAGTTGGAAATGCTGTTAAAAGATTTAACTTAAGACCTTAGAAAAATATTTTATATTTTCCCCTAATAGGGTAACTTAAAGGAAAATAAAATTTTAAATTACTTGTTTTTATTGTTTAGATTTGGGTTTTTTAAACCCTCACGTTAAGCTAAGAAGGTTTATTTAGCTGTTCCGGGGAGCGAAGGAACTGGCAAGAAGAAAAAAAAGCAGAAACATAAAATAACATTTACAGAGGTCTATAATTTAAATATCTGGTTTGTCTTGAAGCCTGAATCTGAAAGAGATCTAATAATTATTTCTTTCATCCCGGCTAACCTGGTGAAGATGCTCATTGTGGATACCTGTGCTTGCTATGCCTGGCGGACAGTGCACCTTAAAGGAAAGAAATAATCTGATTTCTCTCGGCCCTCCCTCTCTCTCCCCCTAAAAAGAGGTTGGCGAAGGGGGTGGAGAGTCCCACATCTTCCCCAGAGAGCAGCGCGCACAGCACGGTCTCTTCACATCGCTTTGTACTCTGTGAAATCCTGGCGCAAGAAGACAATGGAGAGTTCGCTGCGCACCGAAGCACCCGGGAGCTGGCCAGGGTGCTGAAAGCTCGATGCATCTAGAATGGGTTACTCATCGTTACAAACTTCCTTCCTCCTTTCCCCAGAACCAAACACTGATCCAGCGCAGATCTTCCCCGTCTTTCTCACTCCTCTCGCAAAGAGCTAGATTTGCAGTAACATAGTGCAAAGCAACCACAAATATGATCATATCATTATAAGTCGCAGCACTCAGATAGGACTTTATAGCTTCCACGCGCTGAATAAACATTAACTAATTAATTACAACGAGCGAACTCTACTTTTCTACTATAAATTGTCAGTTGCAGGCACCGGTTATATTTCTCGGTGCAGAAAAGGTTTGATCGTTATGCTATTTTTCTCACCAGCTGTGATTAAAAATAATAAACAAGCTCTACGTAATATAGCTAAACCCGCTAAACACAGCATATCAATTTCCAAGGGTTATTTTTTCAGAGATTTCTAATGGACACAAGAAACCTTCTCTCCCCGCCAAAACAAGGTTGTATCTGAGACCTAAGAAGGAGAAGCACCGCTGTCTTTATTGGGTGAAACAGTTAAAAATAATCCACGTGTTTCGAGTTGGATTGTTACATACAAAGAAATTGCAAGCCTGGTTTATTTAACTCTTTCTGGAGACGGTTGCGGTGTTGGTTTAATGAGAAAGAAAGAAAGAAAGAAAGAAAGAAAGAAAGAAAGAAAGAAAGAAAGAAAGAAAGAAAGAAAGAAAGAAAGTTCTCTTGAGTTCTTTCTTTCTAACTCAACTATCACACACACAAAAATGTAGTTAAACGATTTCTCTCTCTCTCTCTCTCTCTCTCTGTCTTTCAGACCCCACTGACCTAACAACCCAGCTTACCCTTTCACACACAAGCACACGTTCATCAATGTACTCTGATTTTAAAGCAACACAATTAAACAACTAGCTCAAGTGGGCAGGCTGGACTCGTTTGCATCGTGGGGGCAGAACTAACGAGAGAAAAAAACAAGCTTAACTTAATTTTAAATTTCACTTTCCTTTCTGATCTCGAATTGAAGCCCTAACCTCGGGGAAAGACAGGGAGATCAGAAGTCCCAGCAAACGTTAACGATTTGCAATAGAGCTTGTCTAGAAAGCAAGGCGAGGGTCATCCTGATCCAGTCAGATCTAGCCTCCGAGGGGCTAGCCAGTGATCTGGCTATTGCAAGCCGGACAGTCAGGAGGCAACACAATCGGTGTCATATACAAACAGGGCTTCAAGGATATCAATTTGCATAGCCTGCTGCCCTTTGCTGGAGTTGTGCCATTTACACCTCTTCGTACAGCTTTGGTGTGACAGTCAGAGATGAGAGAGAAACCAGGCGGCCATATCCCACTGGGATAAATATCACATTTCTGTTAAAAAAGAGCGAGCGAGCGAGCGAGCTCCCACCCGCGGAAGCGACTATCAAACAATGCTTTGAACAGAAGTGAAGTTCAGCGACAGTCTGAGCAAAGCGGGAGACTTCAAAGTTCCCAGACTTTCCACGAGATTAAAGAACTCTGATAATTTCTCTGCAGAAGACTCCCAGTTTGGCCTGGATTTGGTGTCTCTCATTCATCCCGCCCCCCCGCTCACAGACACACTTTTCTCTCAACCCCACCAGTCCAGGCGACCTTCCTTCTGAAATGAGTCCCCGCAGAGCCCATCCT